AATTACAACNCAATGCATATTGTCTCTTGGATAAATGAGTCTTATTAACTTTTTCAATGAGATCCACTCATCCAACACTCATCAAATAAATGGTATGCACTTGGGTTGTATTTTTGAATTTCATTTAAATTGTTTAAAATTTTTCGTCATCAATATATAGACACTAAAAAAGGAACTCCACACTACCAAATTTAGTAACGTATCTAAAAATAGATAAATTTATGATATAATCATATCAAATTACAATNTGCACTTGGGTTGTATTTTTTAATTTCATTTAAATTGTTTAAAATTTTTCGTCATCAATATATAGACACTAAAAAAGGAACTCCACACTACCAAATTTAGTAACGTATTTAAAAATAGATAAATTTATGATATAATCAGATCAAATTACAACTCACTATGTTCTAGCTATAGTATCACACGATTGTTTCATCTTCTTTTCACATGTGCAAAACTATCTAGTTATAGGATATCAAATCGATTATTAATATGATTCTATTTAATTCATTGCATGTGAAAAATTGTCTACTTTATAAGTTTTTAAGACTTTTTTCTTTGTAGGGAATTCTCTATTGCAATGATATTAAAAAAATATTGGGAATANTAGGATATCAAATCGATTATTAATATGATTCTATTTAATTCATTGCATGTGAAAAATCGTCTACTTTATAAGTTTTTAAGACTTTTTTCTTTGTAGGGAATTCTCTACTGCAATGATATTAAAAAAATATTGGGAATAACTCATAAAATTTTTGGATTGATTCAAGACTACCCTATTGGGTCATAATTTTGGCAGTCATAGTTTTAATAATATCAAAAAATAATTTTTTCTGACATTATTAAAAACATAAAAAGAAAACAAATAAAGGGGTGAAAAAACCTTAAAAAGGGTTTTGCACATGGAAGTATTTGATTGAACTGAAGATATGGAAAGCCTTGGCCAGGTAAGAGTTGGCCATGGTCCCAAAACCTAGAACGGCCCACTATGGTTGAGGAAATGTAAAAGGGTATTAAGTAACTTAGGTTGATATTTCTTGGGGAATTTATGATAACTATAGGACTATTCTTTTGAGCTTTTATTATTAAATTGATATACTCTACGTCTATATACCTATTAGCCCTTCAAAAAATAAAATATGTCTACTGTGTCATTGTTTTTAGAGATTACCATTGCAATATGTTTTATTCAGAATACAACACAGGACGAGATAGACAATTGATTTCATTTTAATTTAAACCAACAGTAATAATTGGTCTCCAACTTTATTATGTCCTTTCTATGATAGCGTATCCCATCTAAAACAGAATCATGGATACCTTGATCGTTCTTGATCTTCATACCAATTGTGATTAATGTTATACCACATGTCACATAATATTAATTTGTATCGTGTGTAGTATTAATTGACTGTATAATATCGAATGGAATATTAAACTCAATGTTATAAGATCGGAACATAGTTTAAACATCGTATTAAGTTGTTATCATAATAATTAGTACAATCACATCCATAGACTCCAAACCCATCATTTCCCTTGCTTAGCTTTTGTATTTGAATTTTTGGATTAAGGGAGGGAGGGGGGTTGTTCTATTGTGAAAGGAGACAGGGCAAGAGGGGTGGGGTTGGGGTGGTGCAAGGGTGGGGAGCGCTATTGGTGTGTGGGTGAGGTATGAGTGTTATTATTAAATTGATATACTCTACGTCTATATACCTATTAGCCCTTCAAAAAATAAAATATGTCTACCATGTCATTGTTTTTAGAGATTACCATCGCAATATGTTTTATTCAGAATACAACACAGGACGAAATAGACAATTGATTTCATTTCAATTTAAACCAACAGTAATAATTGGTCTCCNTTTCTAGAAGGACATGTGGAAGAGTGTCAGAGATTTTCTAACGACTAAATATTCCCTTATGATCCTAACAAATGGATGGTACCACACAATCTTAGATAAAGACAAAAAGATAGTTGTGTAGCTATAACTACTAATAAAAATACCTTAATATGAAAAAATTTTAATTTACTAATTTATTCTCATAAAGAATTAAAAAGGCTACTCTATCCTTCTACACTTAATATCTAAATTACCATCATATCCTTATGCATTTAAATTTCTAAACTATATCTAAGATCACTTTTAATTATATATTCCCTATGTATAAATTTCAATTTTTATAAAATTTTTTGATTGATTATATTACTCGTAAATATGCATCATTATAAGTTTTAACAAGATATTTTAAAAAAACCTTCAAAAATTTCATTAATATAATATTACTCACCTCATTTATAAAGATAATATTATGACTATATATGTGTATTTTATTTTTCATCAAAATGTTTAACCATTTTATTTTTAAGATAAATAATAATGTATATATAGTTTTACATGATTTTTTAGTCACAATTTAATTTTTANAATATTGCATCTTCAAAGATTAATTTTTTATCTTACACCCCTCAATATATCAAAAATATTACAATGTGGTCCTTCTGTTAGTTTTCATTATTTTTTTCGTCAAAATCAATCTATTAGCACTGACAAACAAATTAATCTTTAATAGTGCAAAGTGAAAATCTTAAAATTTTTCAGGGTGCACAATACAATTCACTCAAGAACGATTGGGCTTTTCATATTATATTTCAAATTAAAAGGGTGTGTATATAATAAATCCAAATCTTAGGAGGCCAATGACATATAGTTACCCAAGCATATCTCCTAGAAAATCTTTAGCTGTTAAGGCGGAGAGAATGGAGAAGGATTTGTTATTGTAGATATGCATAACAAATGACCCAAAAAAAAAATTAAAAATGTCTAGCCAAAAAAAAAAAGATTGCAATTTTATCTAAATTTGAAAGGGATATTTTATAATTAACACTTAAATAAATTTGAAAGGGATAAATTTAAAAAATTTTGTTCTCAATCTTATTAAAGCGGTGCACATTGTTACTTTTTTATTTAATTGCAGATACAATGTGAAGATTTTAATTTTTTAGTGTGTGAATTAAAATTTTAAATTATTTGAGGGGGTATAAAGTGTCATTTAACCTTAAAGAATTACAAAAATAATATTAAACTAATTCTAAATACTTGCACCAGTGTTTAAGACTAAACAGAAGTGTTTTTTTGTCTCCCAGCTCATATTAGTTTATTCTTTTCCCCTTTCTCATTCCTATATATAAGGGGGAGAGAGAGAGAGAGAGAGAGAATGAGCGAGTCTGTTCTTCTNTTCTAGAAGGACATGTGGAAGAGTGTCAGAGATTTTCTAACGATTAAATATTCCCTTATGATCCTAACAAATGGATGGTACCACACAATCTTAGATAAAGACAAAAAGATAGTTGTGTAGCTATAACTACTAATAAAAATACCTTAATATGAAAAAATTTTAATTTACTAATTTATTCTCATAAAGAATTAAAAAGGCTACTCTATCCTTCTACACTTAATATCTAAATTACCATCATATCCTTATGCATTTAAATTTCTAAACTATATCTAAGATCACTTTTAATTATATATTCCCTATGTATAAATTTCAATTTTTATAAAATTTTTTGATTGATTATATTACTCGTAAATATGCATCATTATAAGTTTTAACAAGATATTTTAAAAAAACCTTCAAAAATTTCATTAATATAATATTACTCACCTCATTTATAAAGATAATATTATGACTATATATGTGTATTTTATTTTTCATCAAAATGTTTAACCATTTTATTTTTAAGATAAATAATAATGTATATATAGTTTTACATGATTTTTTAGTCACAATTTAATTTTTAAATTGTGTTAAGATTTTATATGAAAATTTAAATTTTTTAAAAATTTTAATATGATTTATAATATATATTATATCATTGTATATGAAATTTTATCTTAATTGACCTAACTAATTTTAAATACAATAAGGTTCCAATATGATTGGTATGTTAGTAATTATTTTTATTTTATTCAATGATTTATAAATGAAATCTTAATCAAAATAATTTTAAAAAATTTAACTTTCAAACATCACTAAAAAATAAATTTCAATTACAAAATTATAGAAAAAAAAATAGAACTTTAATTATTTCTTTACTTTTTTTTTATCATTTTAAAAAAAACTCTATGGTGGAGCACGAGAGATTAAAAAATAAATTTGGTAAATTTGAGATAATATTTAATTTAAGTACACATATATCAAATATTTATTTATTAATTTTTTCTAAAAAAATTATTCACGTGCTACACACGTAGTGCATTGCTAGTATATAGAAAGGGATATTCTACATAGAAAAAAAACCCCTCATTGTAACACCTTTTTCCCCGAGCAATAGAAACANTAAACAGAAGTGTTTTTTTGTCTCCCAGCTCATATTAGTTTATTCTTTTCCCCTTTCTCATTCCTATATATAAGGGGGAGAGAGAGAGAGAGAGAGAGAGAGAATGAGCGAGTCTGTTCTTCTCTCCAGCTTTAATGGCGTGAGAACGTACCAGAATGTATATCTACAGTACCTGTAACCGTGTGCAATCCTTCATCTTCGCATGCTTCACCAACTCTTTCCAAATAAAACCCAAAGCCCAAATGACATGAATTTGAAATGAAAATGCAATAGAATTTCCACCACCCCAAAAGCACCGTTCCATTTTCAATCACAATATTGATATCTGAGACCAACCCAGATGATAAAAAGTGGTAATCTCTTACTGTGTATTTGATATTTAGTCTATTTAGATCAGAATCTGATGTGGGTAGTGGTTTGATTGATTGCTTTGTCAATCTCTGTCTGTGTTCTCTCTCTCTCTCTCTCTCTTNTGTATTTGATATTTAGTCTATTTAGATCAGAATCTGATGTGGGTAGTGGTTTGATTGTTTGCTTTGTCAATCTCTGTCTGTGTTCTCTCTCTCTCTCTCTCTCTTGTTGTTTTGTGTTGTAATTGTTCTTATTTTTTATGTTTGAGAGAGTTGGGATTGAGCAAAAAATTGGAGAGAACATGGAGGATGATGAGGAGCTTGAAAAGTTGTTGGGTGAGATCCCTTATGCAACATCATTCAACCTTCATCATCCACATAGCAATGGCCATCATTTTGATCACGTTGGACAATGTAACGGTTCTGTTGTAACACAAAAAATGAATAATGTGACGTATGGTATGTATGATGATGACCCTTTGAGTCATAGATACACATGTGCTTCCCCTGGTAGTGGGTTCTCTTTGCAATCTGATGGCTCTTCCTCAAGCTTGTTCTCTGGTGGGCATTCATTTTCATTGTCTGACAATGGATCACCAAACACACCTCCATTGGAAGAGCTCAAATCCCAAAGGCCTGGTGGTAGTCCTAATTGCCCGAGTGGATTGTTGTTAGATACTGAAACACCTGATTCTTCTGTTGTGAAGAAGGCCAATGAGAATGTGCTTGATAAAGTGAGTTTGTCAACACATTTAAGTAGAATGAATTTGAGCAAGAAGCAAGAGGATGTTATGGTAGACCCAAATGGATACCAGTTTTGTGATCGCTATATTGGTGGGACTAACCCATACAACTTTCAGAAATATGGGTCCTCTGATGATTATATGAGAAGCTTATCTGATTGTGGCAGAATTCGATCCTCTAGTCCAAGATATCCTTTTAGTTTCGATGGTGAGAAGAATTCGGCATTGTTGGGTTTGTGGCATGAATGTAGACATGGTAATCCATTGGGATCACAATATTCACCTGTTCAATCTGATGGCTTGTTTTCTATGTTGAATTATGGCAATAGTCCCATGAGTTCTCAATATCATAGAGCAATGGAGGAGGCTGCGTTTCATTCACTAAATGTGCCTCAGTTCGCTAAACCTAGGCCTCATTTTAATGTGGAAAATATGCTACATTGTCACTCAGCAAGGATAAATAGAAGAACCAGAGCATCTTCACATATTAAAAGCCCTCAAGGGGCTCTTGAGGCTTGTAATAGGGAGGATAGCTTGATCATTCAAGGGGAAGGACTAAATTATGCAATCAACAAAGGACATGGACGTTCAAGTGGACAAAATAATAGGGTTTCATACGACATCGGTTTGGGTAAGCCTCAAGGAAAGCGCCCACAGCTAAATGCTCATCCTCAATTTGCAAGGGCTTATGGAAATAGTCAAAGTGATCGAATTTATTACCCTTTTTCATTGCCATTGCAGTTTGATTCCCTGGCAGAAGCTCAAGGTTATATACACTTGATAGCAAAGGATCAGCATGGCTGCCGGTTCTTGCAGAGGATGTTTGATGAGGGAGGCCCACAAGATGTGCAAATAATCTTTAATGAGATCATTGACAATGTAGTTGAACTGATGATAAATCCATTTGGGAACTACCTTATGCAAAAGCTGTTGGAAGTGTGCAATGAAGAACAGAGAATGCAGATTCTTCTCAGGGTAACTGAAGAGCGAGGCGAGCTCATAAGAATCTCTTTAAATTCCCATGGGTATGTCTTTTACACTATCCTCTGCCTCTTCATGTTACTCCTATTGTAACCCAATTGCTATTGTAATATTGTATCAGCACTAGAGTGGTGCAGAAGTTGATCCAAACTCTCAAAACTAGGCAGCAAATTTCGCTAGTCATATCAGCCCTTGAGCCAGGGCTCCTTGCTCTCATCAGGGATCTGAATGGGAATCATGTCGTGCAGCGATGCTTGCAATGCCTTACCAAGGAAGATAATAAGGTATGAGCTTCTCTTATTATAACGCTTGGAAGATTGTGCTACAACTGTCTACTTTTAACACATCTTGAGCGTAGGCAAATGATGCAAATTTTTGGCATTTTGTGTTTCTCAAATTTTGGAATAGAGACAACAAAACCAGGCAGTTTATGGGCTTTTATTTTGCTAGTATCTAAGGAAACATATAACAGGACAGGGTCTCTGGTGCTTCACCAGTTACAGATAGAAAGGTATATTTTACCTCAGTTCATAAACTTCTGGTAGGTGGATCGTCTACAGAAATGATAAAATTCATGGCCTGAGATTCAGTCCATCATTGACCATAGGTACTTTGAAATGACTGAGGGACTTGAATCATCAAATGCTAGAAATGTTTAAAGCTCAAATAAAGATGAATGGTCAATAACTACAGCCAAACTGGTTAGTTTTCATCTATATGCACAATAAGAATTTGGTTTCATTTCGCTCGTATTGACAGAAACATTTCAGTTTCGGTGGAAAACGAAAATAATTAGTGTTGAAAATCGAAATTCCCATATTTTGGAATGTTTTGGATAGTTCTGGATGTTTCAAAATGTTTTGGGACTAATTTTTCTCTCTTTCCTTTTTTGGTTCCAAAATTATCAAATCTATGCAACGATTTTGTTTTTTATCTTTGAATACACTTAACTCCTAAGTCAGAAATATTGCCATTTAAACTTGGTGTTTTGTAGTATTTTTTTGATCAATGGGACCCACAAACCACTCACACTGGGCAATTGCAGGTGAGGGCTGTGGGGTGTTTTGTAGTATTAAGTGATCAGTTTTTATTTTTTCTCACTTTCTTTTTCGTCATTCAAGTAACAACATTGAGAATCAAGTTCCTATACTTTGACTTTATTATCAAAAGGAAATGACTGTTTTGTCCGAGTCACTTAAATTCCTGCAACCTTTTATGACAGTTTTTATGTGATCTCATTGAGGAATGTTATGCATTACAATACAAATCATCTGAAAACCTAAAAATCACCTTATTGAATCTAGGAAGGGTTCCTGTTGGTACTGCATTGAGAGAATACCTCTTGGTCACTTGAAAAGTTGAACATCCACACAGAAGTTGTTTCTAGAGCATACAGAAAGTAATTCCAGAGCAGCAGCAAATACAGCATTAAGGAAGTGCTAACTGTCAATTTGGTCTCCCTAAAAGTTTTTGGATACTTGGTTCATAAATCCTTTAGAAACTCCATAGATGCTGCACCATTTGTCAGCCAGAACACCTTGGACTATTTCCTTGTGCTAGTTCAGTCATGCATGTCTTTGAGACTATATTGCATGACATGGAAGTTATCAATCAGTAGTACATAAGCAAACAATGCAAACAACAATTTGTGGTTGACTAATTAGGCATCTGGACATGAGGTGATAAATATACATAAATTACTGCTGTCTAGCAATTTGTCAACCACAAATTGTATGGATAGTTGCACATAGCAATCTGAACTGCATCTCGGTTGTGGTGGGGGTTGTTCAGAAATCTGGATGTTATAATTTTGTTACTGGATGTCGTGATTCCTGTATCTTTGACTGTTCGCTTATCTAACAATTGGAATCATAATTGAGCAGACTAGTATTTACATATGGGAAGAGCTAAAATATAATTAGTAAGTTATGTTTTTTTTTTGTTTGAATTCTTCCATTTTATTGTTTCCATTTCATCTTGTTTAGTCATGTCTGAAGTCCCAAAAGACAGCTCATTCTCTGCCTCTTCGTAACATTCTTCATATAGTAGTATGGTCTGTGCTGGGGGTACAGCTGAGTTGCTTCAGGGCTTACAGCAGTGATGAGTTGCAGGGTTTGCTAACCAGGGGATGGTATTCATAGAGTTTTAATATTGGATCGTAGAAACATGTCTTAGGGTCAGTTTCAAAACTGGTTTCTGTAAGGTCAGCATGATGACTACATTATAATTATCTGTTAAGTGCTTTATTTTATTTGTAAAAAATATTTGGCCTGCCGAATATCTGAGATGCGATGACTTTCAGCTTCGCATTGTTCTACATGCAAACTAAGCGGGAACAAGAAGTTTTCTGCACGTCAAAGAGTATAGTGATTTTCCTTTTTTTATTGATGTGCAAAGATGATGAGACATGAAATAATATAATTTGCAAGATAAAGCTATCAACTTTAGAAGAAGAATTAATAGGAGCGGGGAGTGGCTAACATGCTCTCCAAAGAAGGTCATGCATAAGTTTGAAGCAGCAGTCTAAAACATTCTATTCATGTTATTTCTCTGGTTTCGAAGGATGGATTTCAGGAACTTGCCTTCAAGGCAATGTTCCGGTTGTCATAGCATGTGGTCCCTGTTAATCAGTGGCATATGAGGTGCACAACAAATATGTAATCATGCATGCTTAATCAATAATAGCATCAGCATCCTCTTTCGTAGTAGTCTCAACTTAGTCTTTGGTGATTGAAAAAATGGTCGCTGTTAGATGTCTAATAACAGAGTGGAATTTTATTAGCTTTATTTCCTACAGTTTAACAGGACATGTGTAGCATGAGGAATTTAATCCTTCATAGAGAGTTAGCACTCCACTTTACACTGTTTGAGTCTCAATCATTTGCCTTTACTTATCCCTCACTGATGAAACTCGAGACAATGATAAGAACCAGAAATGACTGGATGTTGGATATAGAGGCCCACCATACAAGTGATTCTCAGCTGCTTCTTATGATCAGTCTAAATTTATTCTGCATTTTTCTTCTAGCAATTATACTCTTGCTATATATACTTTATTTTATTTTAGTTCCTTGACTACATTTGGCAGTTCATATTTGTTGCTGCTGCAAAGCACTGTGTGGACATTGCAACCCATAAACATGGGTGTTGTGTGTTGCAACGATGCATCAGTCATTCGACTGGTCAGTATCATGAAAACTTGGTTACAGAAATTTCGGCAAATGGACTTCTACTTTCTGAAGATGCATTCGGGTAAGCATAAGGCACACATTATTTTTTGTTAGCATACCATTTAATCAGTAGTCGTATAACACATTCTTGGAACCAGATGTATATGGTCCTCTGCATTTTCAGTTGCTTTGGCTGCTTGAATGCTATTGCATCTCTAACTTTGTAACTAGCGGCATTTTTTTAGGTTGGAGGTTATAGTTTTCAGCATTTAAAGTTTTGTTGCTTTGATTTTGTGGATTTTGGGGCAGCGAGTAGTTTCTTGTTTTACTTTTCTTTTCAAGAAAGAGGAGTTTCCACCACGGTGCATTTATTTTCTCTATTTTTTCTTTGCTATGCTAACCTCATGTAGTCCCTGTCCCTCCCCTTGGAAGGCCTCTCTATCTGACCACCTTTAAGATTGGTTGTAATACATGAATATTTTTGGTGAGTGTTATTAGTGTGGTAGCCTCTTTTTATGGAATACTGCTTTGGAACACAATTGCCACATGTGAACACTCTAAGTTTGTTGCATTTCAATGCTGTTGGTGTGTGTCTGGGTATCTCTGTGTGTGGACCATCAGTCTGCTGCTGATGGTTACTGTGCTTGTTTGTTGGAATGACGAAGTGGGGATCTCTTTTATTAAGTTTTACTGCTCCTTTTACCTTTTTCTACTTAGAAATCATAGGATTATTTTTCTCATTTTGTTTCATTTATACTTCCATCCAAAGCCTGTGCAGTGGTGGTTCGTTTTTCCATGTTGGCCATTGTCCCAACCGCGTAGAAGTTTATACTTTTTTGTTTTTGGCATTTTCCTCTTATAATGGGCAATATTCTGCTTGCAGAAATTATGTTGTTCAGTTTATATTGGAGCTAAAGATTCCATCTGCTACGTCTAAGTTGATTTCTCAGTTTGAGGGGAACTATGTCAATCTCTCGTTGCAAAAGTTCAGCAGCCATGTCGTTGAAAAATGTCTCACAACAGTCAATGATGAAGTCCGGGCAAAGATCATCCATGAATTGCTCTCTGCAGCTCACTTTGAGCAGTTGCTTCAAGACCCACATGCAAACTATGTTGTTCAAACAGCTCTTCTTGTTTCTGAGGTTAGAGAATCAACATTCTATTCAATACCATTGTTGTTATGAGCAAATTCTTTTTCTTTTTCTTTTTCCTCTCCTGTTGCAAATTGTAGTTTTTCTTTGGAGCATGTTTATATCGATTGTCCCAACTTAAAATGGATTTAATGAGTTTCACATTGTCTCAAAATCAAAATTTAGGATATTTTGGACTATTGGGACTTATTTAAAGTTCCATGGTGGTTGCGAAACAAACGAAGTTGTCAAATGATAATTTTCTCCCCTGTAATTGATACCTCAATAATCTACTTAGCGGACCCATTCATGATTTACAATCGGGTCTTAATCTTCTCTGTGCATTCATAATATATGAGAAATATCAAGTCAATGATGGTCCTGGCTCATATATCTCCCTCTTAATGTTCAATCATTTTTTNATCTACTTAGCGGACCCATTCATGATTTACAATCGGGTCTTAATCTTCTCTGTGCATGCATAATATATGAGAAATATCAAGTCAATGATGGTCCTGGCTCATATATCTCCCTCTTAATGTCCAATCTTTTTTGAAATCAGGGCCGTCTTCACAGTTCTTTGGTTGATGCTATCGAGTCCCACAAGGCAATCTCGCGTAACAGCCCATATTCCAAGAGGATTTTCTCCCATAAGCTCTTGAAGAAGTGATGTTCATTCCAACCTTTTTGGGTATGTAAGAAGTTATGTGGTGTTGTTCTCTATTTACCGCCATTTTCTTTTCTTCTACCGGATCTTTATCTTACGCATAAGCTTATTGGCCGCATCTGTTGTCAATTTTGTTCTGCAACTTTTGATCACTTTGGGCTTACTTCAGCTCTGCAGAGTGTAGAGAGCAAGGCAATTCTGCTTTCAGTTGCTTAAATTGTGACATTTTATGTATTATTTTGTTGTTGATGTACTGTCATATCTTTATCTGTGGAAATTTCTCTAATGTGCAGTTTATAAAAAGTGATGAGGGCTTTTCTTTCACATTGCTGTGCAAATGATATGTTTGGATGTTTTCTCAACTGTTTAGGTGCTTTCTTACTTTCCTGATGGTATTCTAACCGATGATCAAAATTTCATTTCAAATTATTGTTTCGGTCAATTTAGAAACTGAAACGGATAAAATGTTTTAGAAATAAAACAAAAACAGATAAAAATCTTGCGAATTTATTTTCAAATCATTCCTAGCCATTGATCAAATATAGCAAAACATCTTAAAACACTTTGAAATATTACGAAACATTGATTGAAACATATCGAAGTACTTTGAAACATCTCAAAAACATTTCGAAGCACTCGAAGCATTATAATTTTAATTCAATCATTAATTTATTTTTATTTTGTTAGAAATAGAAATATTTTGAACGTTTTGAAATGAAATTTTGATCCGTAGATTCTCTTCCCAAAACTTACAACTTATACATGGGATTTAGGTCACTTCATTGAAATTTCAATACAAACACTTTGCCCATAAGTTAAATCAGATTTAGATTCCCTCCCCTATATTTTTTTCTTAATTGTAGATCATTCATTTTAAATTCGGTGAGATCCATTACAAAAGTGAATTTTCCATCAACTCACGTTGAATGATTCATCACTGAATAAAATTAATTAAGGAAAAAAATGTGGTAAGCAAAATTAAGAGAAAGTGTTATAGTTGATTTGAAGTCTGACCGTTAAAGGGCAGAGGGGCGACCAATAAATAGTAAACCCCTTTAGGCGTGATTATGAGGGCCTTTCTACTGTAAAATGTCTAATTTGAGCTATAGTCATTAACCCATAAAGACAGTTTGTCACCACAACACCACCAACACAAACACCAAACAACAAATCTCATTACTCTCGTGAATTAAACTCTACTTAAGTGTCAAAAATGATTATAAACGAAATATGATTAATCACTAGACTACCAATTCGGGTGGTGGATCCTGTTATATCAAAGTCCTTTATTTGGGCAACTTGAATTGATGATTCCTTTGACATTTGCAAAATGACGTATTTACCCTTATAATCTTAGCGAAAATGTTTTGTGAAAATCATTACATAGACCCCCCAAACACCCC